ACCTGCGTTTATTTCCTCTCTCTTTATGCTGGAATCTTTTACTGATCATCATTCACCTACAGGTTGAGGTTCTCTCCGGCTCCGCCACCTATGTCTTCTACTAAGCTAGTCGAGGGCCCGACACCCACCCGCCGGCGTCGTACGATTCGGTTCGCGCCCGCTAATCTGAATCGAACCTCGTCGGCTCGCAAATAGAAGAACTTTCATGCCTCTGTTCATTCTGTTCATGATTCTCTGTCCAGTGCGGTTGCTTTCTTCTTGTATCTTACTATATTGTCCTATGTGGCTTGGAAAATATAGCACCTGTCACATATGTCGCGTCGCCATTCCCTTGATGGAGACGATTGTGGTTAGACCTTACCTTCTCTACTGCAAAGTAACACTGATTTCCGTCCTTTTCAGCCGCACTTTTCTACCTTATTCCCCCCCGTGAGCAGCCAGATTTGCTCGTCATGTTATAAGTTAGCAATGCCTTGTATAGTAGTTTTGTTTATGTCAGTTGATTAAAGATGGTTTTAATTCTTTCTGTACCGATCTGATACCATCTGGGTGCATGGACGCCGTATTTGTGACCGCGTAGGGCGACAACTAGCTTTTTAAAGCAGGGCGGCCCTACGAAACCTGGCGGGTCCCACCCCCAGCCTCCTGAGTTTCAGTGAAAGCAGGTGTGTCAGGGCTGGTATGTAGATTATCCTTCGATAGAGTGCTCGGGAGGCGGTGGAGGTGCATTCCAGGGCGGCATCCACCTGCGTCATGCACGGTCTGATGTGTCCATCTATCTATCAGATATCGGTGACCTTGGAATGTGCATAAGTGGAGCCCCCGATCGGTCGGTGAGTTCTTCAGGGTTCTGTCACCGGTGATGTGTGGCATGTCAGAAGTGGGCTGGGGTTTGGCATTTCAGGTCCGTCATATCAATAATTTATTCATGTTGGTTCTTTGAAGTTCTATAGTGGGTTAAGCTGTTTCGATCGCCACTTAAGTAGTCATTGTCCTCATTTCCTGACTAATGGATTGTATCATTAATGTTACATTGTAAAGTGAGATTTAAGTAACAGAGACCAACTGTTATGGTGGATTGGGGGCGCAATTGCGACTGTTTGTTCCGCGAAGGGTACTACTACTACTACTATTGCTACTAAGTATATATTTACCGCAATGAGGGGTGATGATGCCATGGAACCGGCGATTGAACTACACGTTGTGACTTATATCACACCATAAAGAGGGTTCATCTTGCCGGGTGTATTTTCCGGGACCCGTACCTGGCTCGATGATGAGACCATTTACCAAGTTCGAGCCTGCGTAGGTAGTATTCTGGTGGATGCCATCAGGGGCAGTTGAAGTCATCCACCCCGTTGAGGACTGTTCACGTCGCACGCACTAGTCCAGATGGGGATAGCGAGTCACGATCTGTACGAAATCCCTGCAACGGGCACATGGCTTTACTATTTTGGGTAAGGCCTCGACTGGTCATTGGCCGAGGCTGGGTGTCCAGCACCACGTGATCAGGCGCGCCATCACGGGGACCGAACCAGAAAACGCGGAGCACATGACTCCTAGACGCGGAGACGCGCCTCGTTCCTGCCTGGGGTGTCGAGGGTTGTGTATACCGAGATTATAGACTAGCCACCTCTCCTCCCTCCGTTAGACACGCAGGGGAGTGCTGGAACTCAGGGAGCCGCCAGGGTTGATTACCTTTTTTTTCCCACACCTGTAAGCAACCGAAGTCTGGCATATTTTGGCAAACTTCCCTTCCACCCAAGTCAGCAGTGCATTGCATAGTTTCGGACGGTCCAAGTTGCGAGGCTGCGCGAGCTTAGTGGTGGAGCTCTCGACCCTCGTCGGCGCCTATCGAACGCGTCTCGGGTTGTAAGCGTGCATTTCCGCGCTGGACGAGACGCTCCGTTCCGGCAGGCATTCCACCACACACCATCCTTTCACCCTTTTCTTCAATGTTTCTCGTTTTTTGCCTGTTCGTACCCAGTTTCGTACTTCCCCAACCTCCTGGCCCTCGTCTTGGGGGGTGAAGCCTCAAAGTTCCTTCCCTTTGTCATCCTTGACACGCTTCATCTTGTCTTTCTCTCTCTCTCTTTCCTTCGGGACCCCGAGTCTCGTGAATTGACTCCCACCCGCATAGAATTAGACATTCCTCTCCCAACCTTTTCTTCCTCGACGCGACGAAAGCCTCAATTGATCTTTTTTAATCCTCGCCCACCCCTCCTGCCGTTGTTCGAGTGGTATACGAGCGTGTCCGGGTCGTGGTTCACGACCAGACGGCCTTAACTTCAACTTAATAACATCATGGAGTCTTCGCCTCCAAGGAGCAGTTTGGCTGCTCCGGTGGCAGGTGTGAAGCGTCCCGCGGCCCTGTTGCCTGCCTTTGAGCCATTGAGCTCCTCTCCCTCACTTCCTCGTCCACAGAAGCGTGTAGCACGCGACAATCATGGCATTGTCTCGACTTACCCTACGCCGGTGCCGACCTCGTCGACCCATATCTTGTCCTCCTCTCCCCCGAGAATGGCCCTGCCACGAACGGCCTCACGGCGTACGTTTACTTCGTCCAGCTCCGAACGAACCCCTCTGTCTGCTGTCCCTACCATAACGCTTCCCGAGAGCGGGGAGCCCGTCCTGATGGGAAGGTCCAGTGCCTCGTGCCATCACCAGCTCGCGGCCAACCGTATGATATCGAGGGTGCATGTCAAGGCTACTTATAAGCCCGCAGCTAATCCCTTTGACCCTGATAGAGTGGAGATCATGTGCATGGGATGGAATGGAATTAAGTTGCATTGTCAGGGAAAAACATATGACTTGGCCAAGGGAAAGACGTTTACTTCGGATATCAAGGATGCTGACATCATGATCGATGTTCATGACGCCCGCGTGCTGGTCCAATGGCCTCAAAGTGACCGAAAAGATTATGCCTCGACAGATTCCGAGCAGACATGGGAGGAGACCACACCCAAACGTAAAGCACAGTCCCGTCGGAGTATTCACGAAAGCCCCAATGTGGAACGTCAGCGCTTGGCGTCTCCCGTCTCACCGTCCCCTGCGGTCAAGTCTCTGGTGCCCCCATCGTCACCCATATATACCCCGACACGCTCGCGGAATTCCGTGGTCGTATATGAAGACGAGGCTTCACCTAGCCGTCGCAACAGCACTGCTGATGCAGATCAGAAGTCGTCGTCCATCGCTAGTGACATTCTGCAGAGCTCGCAGTCCAGCGAGTTGAGTGAGCTGAGCAAGCAAGATGACTTCTCGGACCATGATGAAGAAAATGACCCCATTGTTCATTCCTTTGGACCATTTGGCGACAATCTACTCCCTCGGATGGCCTCATTCACTGCAGATGAGTCACCACTCCGTCCTGCACGACCCCGCAACCAGGTTGTCCAGCCTACCAAGTCCCCGGGACAACCCTCCAAGACCGTTGAGTCGACGGAGAGCACAGTAACCAAGCTGGAGCCGTTGAGCGAGAGCTTTGAACGGGTTCAGAACCATGCCGCCAACCAATTGGCGTTCTCTCGGCTCTCATCCACGCCATTTTCGACAATTCTGAACAACCTCCCACCGTCCTTGTGGAGACGGGACGGCCATCACAAAGAGGGCCCCACGAAAGAAGAGATCCGTGCCATCCTGGACACGACCAAGTGCATTGGAAAGGTGGCACGGGAGGGAAAGGATGCCGCAGGAAAGCCTCTGGAAGCCGAGTACTATTACATTCCTGACTTTGACGAGGACGATATGCGACGCGAGGCGGTTGTGCATGATCTCAGGAAACCGGGCCTCCGCAACTGCCGCAAGCAGCACAAGGTACGTTTATCTCCACTTAAACAGTAACATATAGCTGACCTTCGCAGCAATACTTCTGGCGCAAACCCAAATAAACAATAAAAAGTCATTCGATCCCTGCTAATATCTTGACACGACCTTCTTGGATTCTGAGTACATATTTGCAACGTTCCCCTTTTCTTTCTTTCTTCCTATCTTTCTTCAAGGACTCGCATAGCGTGGCGTGGGCATACCCTGTCGATTTTTTTTGTTGCTGTATGAAGGTGTATGATGATGCGGATTTCTTTCCTTTGTTGCGTTCTGTTAACGGTCCCCCAAGCCAGATGTATTGTTTTGTCCACGTGCGATGTCTACTGTGTTTCCTTTTGTGGCAGCATTGACCATTACGAGTCAGGGTCTCTGTCCATGCCTCATGGTGTAGACCTTGCTATTTCTGTGGGCGCTCAAGACCTACCCGTGTCTTGTGTGACGTCCGTCAACGAATCCGCGTCTGAAAATTTCCTTCAATATTGTCTCCCAGTGCGCTGTTGGCAAGATGCCCATCAGCCCTGGACCCTCAACCAACCCAACCCAACCCTACCCTCATGACCTGTATGTTATCACAGTTTCTTAGGGAAACAAAAGCGTTTTAGTTATGTTCAGATGCAAGCCTCTTACATCGTTCACAGTAGATTCGAAGCCAGGAACATGGGACGATCATTGGTTTCCACCGCAGCTGGCATCACGTGCCTGCGCCATAGATGATGTCCCAATGACTTCAGGTCCAAGCACAACACCACCCTCAACTATCTGGCCGAGTCGTGCAGAAGCACTGTCCAGGCTTCGTTCCTGTCCAATCCTAGCCGGATCTGGATTATTCTTGGCCACGGTTTAGACGTCAGCCCACATCGTATCGCCACGATCCCATCCGAGATACACGGGATGCTATCTGCTGGAAGGAGGCAGGCAGGCATATTAAGCCAGTAGACCCGTATCCATCCCCAACTACTCCATCCATCCTCCTTTGCCCCTTGCTTTCCCGAAACATATGGTCCTCAAGGTACCTTGACGTCGACTACATCGCTAGGTAGCATACTATACCAGTCTACAATCTACCTATATCTTTCTACTTACCTACCTACCTACCTACAACACACCCTCAGTCTGATCCAATTCAATCCAATCCAGTACACCCTCCCTCAAAATCAAACCATCCATCAACATCCAACATGTCCCCAAACCCACGAATCATCCCTACCACCAAATCAACCACCCTCCCCCGCACTCGTCAACACCAAGCAGACGACGCAGGCGCAGACGCACCGCTGCACACGCAAAGCAGTCCCGAAAGAGAGCAAGAAGATCCCAGCAGTCGCATCCTAGGCAGAAGTATCAAGCCGCCCGTGGTACGGCATTATAGTTGGAGTGAGGAGGATCGGAAGCATGCGTTGCAGGCGCGGTTGTTGGAGACGGAGGGGAGGGAGATGGGGTTTTCGGAGGTGAGGGGTCATGATGGTGGTGAGATAGGGGATGAGTAGGATGTTTCTGTGTGAAGTAGGGAGATGGAATTTGATGGTAATTTGTGGTTGAAGGTAGGAATTGACGGGAATTTGAATGAGAATGTGGTGGTTTGTGGTTAATGTCTGATGTGAATGTGAGGTTTATGGGGATATTCCGTCAGAGTGAATTTTGTTGGGGAGATGGGATCAGTAATATATATATTTGATGGCAGTGCCAACAAGAAGAAGTAACTATTTCTTGAAACAAAAGTATTTGACTCTATCGCAGAGAGTATAAGTAGTACTATTGGGGTAATGACGAACTCCGCCTTCGGCCCACTTCTTCACTTTCCCAGCTGCGCTTCACTTCAACTTCCGTCAGCCACTTCCAAGGCTTGCCTCCCCCTCTCTCCACCTCCCCTTGACGCCCGAGACACCTTGCGCGTCACTTGTCTCCTGCCCGCTTCACCAATGTGGCGTTCAAGTCACTCATGCGCTTTCCTTTCCCACTCTTTGAAAGGTTCCCCGGACAGTTGAGATCAACCCACGCGCTGATTGCTGCTGCTGCTGCACCACCACCACCGCACACCGCGGCAAGCAATGGATCGTCAGAGGAAGCGTATGTCCAATCCCACTCCACACCACATGTCACCAAATTTCCCCCAACTTGGGTTCGCTAACTTATTCCTTCCGTCTACAGGGGATCTCCGCCTCCAAAATGAGAGAGTATGGGCCGGCGAGAGTGGTAAAGAAAAACCCCCCCCTCCTCATCAATTCAACCCACTACGCCGATACATGAACTTGATCCGGCATCGGAGCCACATGAAGTTATTGTAATTATTAAACTAACTAACTGATCGTTTTATGCAACAGATGTCTTCCCGGTCAGCAAATCCCTCGATTCGGCCTTGAAAAAGAACACCGCTTTCATCAAGCGCCTCCGCACCGGAATCAACGCCGCTGCCCAACAAACCTTCCTAACCGATATCCGCACGCTCTCGCTGCACAAATACCTGTCGGAAATTATTTCCGCCTGCTATGAAGGTCTCTGCAAGCTCAAATCGCCCGGCGAAATTGCTACAGGTGTCGAGATCACTAGTGCCTTGCACCAGCGCTTCGGACCCGCCGAATTCACCCGTCAGATCGGATGGCTGCTAGGGCGGGGCCTGAGTACCCCGGATAGAGGACAGCTGAAGGCGCTCAGCCAGGAGTTGCGCGAGCGCGAGGAAAAGGAACGGTTGTCTCGGCATCGGGTGTTGTTGAGGGTTGTTACGGAGTTGTGGCTGGTGGGGGTGTTGAAGACACTGGATGATATTGAGAAGCCGGATGATGTGGGCGCGAAGGGCAAGGATGGAGTTGTTGGTATTGGCGGAAAGGCGACGGATGGGCCGGTGAGAAGGGCGCCGCCGTCTGCTGGTAAGGATGGTGAGAGGGAGCCCGAGCCGTTTCCTTTGGAGGTGTTGAAGGACCTGCTTGGACATGATCGCGACCATTCAAATTTGCCACTGGCTGTGCTGTTTGTCAAGAGCTTTAGCTGGGATGTGCTGGGCGTGAAGATGCTCGAGGAGGGTAGGAAGACTGTCGAGGCTGATGGCGCTACAACTACTGTTAATGGCGATGTGGAGGCGGACGCAACAGCCCCGGAGGGTGATGACCCGCCGCTCACTTCGGAGAAGACTCAGCTTCGGTTCAAGCATATCCTGAATCGGTACCTGGAGGATGTCAAGACACATGTTGTTCGCGATCAGAGAGCGTTGGCCGCCCAGAGCCGTCGCAACGCCGAAGCATACGTGAAGAGTGGCGAAATCTTCGAAGACCGCCAGGCCAACTTTGAGAAGCAGACGAAGTCGCTGGAGAAACTGGTTACCAACACGCAGGTCCTGTGTGAGGTTCTGGGCGTGGAAATGCCAGCTTTAGCCGAGAAGGAGGCCGCTGATGCTGGAGCGGGCGGTGGTATCGGCCTGGTGAAGGCTAGCGAGTACTTGCGTGGCCAAGGAGAGGGCGCGGGTATCTGGGAAGACGAAGAGGAACGGCGCTTCTACGAGAATCTAGTCGATCTTAAGGGCAAGGTGCCGGCTGTCCTGTTGGAGGATGGTAAGAAGAAGAAGGCGGAGGATGAGGCCGGAAAGAAGAAAGAAGAAGACGGCACAGATACGGAGAAGACTGAAGCTGGCCAACCGCAGTCGGCTGAGGATAAGGCTGCTGCAGATGCCGATGACCAGTCTACTGCTATCGCAAGCAAGACTGTCGGTGCCCAGGTGGACGCGCTTCTGGCTAAGCTGCCCGATCTGCAGACCAAGGACCAGGTTGACCAGCTGGCGCTAGACTTCTGCTTCCTCAACTCAAAGGCGTCTCGGAACAGGCTCATCAAAGCAGTTTCTGATGTCCCCAAGGGCCGCATCGATCTTCTTCCCTTGTACTCTCGTCTTGTTGCAACCCTAGGACAGTACATGCCTGATATTCCTCAGGGAATCACCAACTATCTGGACGAGGAGTTCCGAAGCCTCCAGCGCCGGAAGTCAAAGGAGTTCCTGGGCCAGGTTCGGATGAGCAATGTCCGTTATTTGGCCGAACTGACCAAGTTTGGTGTAGTTCCGGAGCATATCATCTTCCACTGCTTCAAGGTTTCGCTGGATGACTTTTCGCGCATGAACATTGAGATCATCGGGCATCTCCTGGAGAACTGTGGACGCTATCTGCTTCGGAACCCTGACACGTCCCCGAGAATGGCTTCCTTCCTGGAGACTCTAGGAAGGAAGAAGACTGTCCAGCATCTGGGTCAGCAGGAACGAATGATCATCGAGAATGCAGTCTACTACGTTGATCCGCCACCGCGGCCTGCCATCCAGCAGAAGGAGCGCACCCCTATGGAGTCTTACATCCGGAGACTGGTCTACTTGGATATGAACAAGCGCAACTACACCAAGATCTTGAAGTCGATCCGCAAGCTTCATTGGGAGGAACAAGATGTAAGTACAGCATGAAGCGATGCGGTGTACGAATATCATACTAACTGCGTGATAGGTGGTCGATATTTTGGAGCGCGTCTTCAGCAAACCGGTGAAGGTCAAATATGGCAACATCCACCTTCTCGCGATCCTCGTCAGTGCCCTTTATAGGTATCACCAGGATTTCGTCATCGGCGTTGTGGACAACATCCTCGAGCAGATCACGCTGGGTCTGGAGCAGAACGATTTCAAGTTCAACCAGAAGCGAATCGCTGAAGTCAAGTACCTCGGAGAGCTCTACAACTACAAGATGATTGACTCACCGGTAATCTTTGACACCTTGTATCGCATTATTACCTTTGGTCATGGTGAGTGAGTCGACACCGTCCGCGAACAACCTCATTAACAGCTCTCAGAGGGTGGTACACCCATGCCCGGAAGGATCAATCCGCTTGACCTGCCCGATGATTTCTTCCGTGTTCGCCTGGTCTGCACTCTTCTCGACACCTGCGGTCACTGCTTCGATCGGGGCTCGGCCAAGAAGAAGCTTGACTTCTTCTTGACCTTCTTCCAGGTATGTGCGCCACTGTTCGCAAGAAAATTAAAGCTAATTTAGTCAGTACTACATGCATACGAAGGATCCCCTGCCAATGGACGTCGACTTCCTAGTCCAGGATACTTTCTCCATGACTCGTCCTCAGTGGAAGCTAGCAGCTGATCTGGCCGAGGCTACTCAGATCTTCAGCGAAGCTGTGGCGCAGAACTTCAAGACGCAGGATGCAGAGAGACCTGTCGAGCCTGATGAGGACGATGCGGACAGCAGCTCGTCGGACGAAGGTTTGGAGGAAGATGTAATGCTCGAGGAAGAGGACCAGGAGTCGAGCGACGAGGCTGAGGTTCGTTGACCGACGTTAAGATTGTGATTATCTACTGACGTATCAACAGGTGTCCGGTCCGAACGGCGAACAAAATGGCGACAGTGAGTCCGAAGACGAAGAGATCTTCGTAACTCGACAGGAAGAGGAACGCGACCCAGAGGCGGAAGCCGAATTTGACCGTGAATTCGAGAAAATGATGGCGGAGAGCATGGAATCCCGGAAATTCGAACGCAAGGGTGTGTTTGACATACCTTTGCCGATGAAGCGGTCTGGACGTGAGGCAGCGCTTGAGACGCCCCCGCCAGAGGCGCCCAAGCCCACGAACAACACCATGGCGTTCTCATTGATGACGAAGAAGGGGAATAAGCAGCAGGTAGGCTCTCCATTATACCTTGCAAGGCTCATGACTAACCACGTAGACCCGTACAATCGACCTGCCCTCCGACTCCAGCTTCGCTGTAGCGATGAGAAGCCAGCAGCAAGCCGACCGCGAGGAACAGCAACGGATCAAGAACCTGGTCCTCAACTACGAAATGACCAATGAAGCAGAGACCAATACCGATGGTACGTTCTTTGCAGTATTCCAAGTATAATCAATACACTGACAGTGTTGCAGCCGCAGAGAAGCGTTCCCCCCATCGCGACACCAGAATGGACAAATCAAGCGCGGCCAGGGCGGCTTTCCGATCCCGGAAACTCCAACTGAGCGACGTGAACTGGTAGATGATGGGTATGATAGAAGCTAACAGTCATGGTATACATTCGTGAACTAGAGAAAAGACCAGCAGTGCGCTTTTCGGACTAGTCTTTGACTAATACGCTTTTCGCGTCAGTCGTCCCATCAGTCAATGGGTTGATTGTTTGACAGCTTGTCACAGACGCACACTTATTTGCCTTGTGTGCATGGTTTCAGCCTAATGATGTGCAGACAAGGCTTTGTCTGACAGTCAACCAACCACTCGGTTATTGATACATCGGCGATGTGATGTGGAAGTGAATGGGTATGTCGCATGCATTCCCAAGCATAGCAGACAGGTCATCTGTTCAACACAGTGATCATTCCTTACTTTGTGTGTGGTTCCTCCCGACACAGAACAACTGCCGGTGGTTTGTTATAGGGAGATAGAAGAGACTCCCTGGGCACGGCATGATTATATTCCGTCCTACTCCCTTCTACTCTCCCCCAACTGGCTAACTCCAGCTGAGTAGCGCAGAAGGAGATAGACGTGATGTGATGAGACGTGACCTCTCCTACTTACTGCCCTGGAAACGCAACATACATCCATTACACAATCACTCACTCGCATGAGCTATCCTACAGCCAGTTAAATTAGAAATCATCTCATATCAAATCAGAATGTACATCAGTTGCTACTACTTACTACCCTACTTAAACCAATAATAAATGGGATGGAACTGAAATCATCTATGTCTATTCAATCTACTTCGCTCTCCCTCTCCCCTCTCTTTTGGACCGAGATGCTAAACATGAAGAAAGAAAAGGTACAAGTACAGGTGCAGTGCAGGGGGAGTTACTTAGATACAGTGTGACTCAAGAAAAAAGGGTGAAAGGAAAAGTGGATATAGAGATGGTGGGAGATGCTGATAGATCAATCAATCAATCAAAGAGTTGAGTCAGAGTCAGACTGGAGATGGGAGCAGAGATAAGGAGAAGAGGAGGAAAAGAAGAGCAGAAGAATATCACCGAACAGAGTAACGGAGAATAGAATGAACGAAAGAAATGGGAAGAGACGAGACTGAGTGGACGAGCGGGTATAAATATGAGCTGAAAAAAAAGAAATCATGCATGCATATAGTAATACACTGGCTTGCCCGATCTTATACATCTCCCAACATCCTTCTTCTATTTATTCAATCACATATGCTTCCTGTTCTTCGATATTCCAATGCTGCATCTTCCAAACTCTGCCATATGGTATATTCATTGCTTATTTCTCCGTCTGGGGAACAGCATCATGAGCCGCCTTGGGCACCAAGGTTTCCGCCTCAGCCAGCTCACCCTTCTCGGCGAGTTCCTGTTTCGTCTGGGCGTTGATCTCCTGTGCATGGGCGCGCTTCTCCTCGGGGTGGGAGGCGGCTTCGATCTGAGCGGCGGTCACGGGCTGCTCGTCACCGGCCTCGGGAGCGGGAACGGCAGCAGCAGCAGCAGCAGCCTCCTCGTCATCTTCGAGCTCAGCGCCGTACACGTCGGGGTGTAGTCTGAAGCAGTCTTGCATGCCCCTGTTGAGTAGTGGTTCCCCGCATTAGTAATGCATTCAATGCTTATGGTTCGGAGACGAGTATACGTACTTGAACTTCTCAATGCAGTCAATACCCTTAGGCTCCTCGGAGGAGTACACGAAGCAGCTGAAGGCAGCCTTGAACTCCTCACCACAAGGTCCGTGAGCCATACCGCCCAGACAAGGGCAGTCCCAGTTGATCTCGCCAGTCTCGGGGTTGAAGGCGCCTTCCTGGCCGGCCTCGGCCTCAAGCTCCTCGGGGGACATCATCGAAGCAGATTCGGGGGAGGGTTGTTGCGCATCATCTTGAGGGGCTTCGGGGGCAGCAGGAGTGGGAGCGGGAGCAGGCTTCTTCTGCTTCTGTTCGCGGATCTTGGGCTTGATAGAGTCGATGGTGAGAGAAGATTCGGCTTCGGCGGAATCGGAGTTAGATTGCGAGAGAAGAGAGACTGCATTATTAGCTAGCTGAACAGGGTCTGATGGGAGGGTGAGGTGGTGTGATGGATTTCTTTCTCTCTTCCGAAGCATGACGGCGAACCGCCATGCATGCGGTGGGAAAAAACCCAGCGGCAACGGGCAACGGCAACAACGTACAGGACGGGGTTTGAGCGAAGTAGGGGCTCGTGTTGTAGTAGTAGACAGCGCCAATGGCCAGACCCAAGCGGGCAGCGGTGTTCTTCCAACTCCTCGGCTTGGAGTCGGCGGGTGTGTTGGTGCTTATCAATCGTCTGGCAGCCGGGCCACGGACTGCGACGGCCGGTGCGCGGAGGATAGCTCGAGGTGCGGAGCGAAACATGGCGGGTGAGAGTGGGGGAAGTTGGGATTGACAATTAAGGGAGGTGATGGTAAAGAGGAGAGGAAGAGGAGGGGGGTATCACCGCGAGGCGAGCGGCATGAATTGGGCGGGAAACCGACGGATGGGAGTGGATGGAGGTGGACGGGGATGAGAGATGGAGATGGAGATGCAAACCAATTCCACCACCTCGATTTGACGCTGGGTGCCTCAGGCAGGAGTGTTCTTGCCTGTTTGGGTTGTTCTGCTGGTCCGCCTCGGATTGACCAATCAGAGGGGGGCGCGATACGCTGTTGGTGCTGCCAGTGATGAATTGCATGGATGGGATGCTTCTCCTCATTTTAGTGTCATCTGAGTATACCGAGTAGTTGAGCTGAAGTCATGTAGATAAGAGAGGTGGCCCCGGAGGGTATGTATTGAGTCTGTTGAAGTTCATTGTCTACTCCGGTCTGCAGTCCGATCTACAATCTTGACTATATACAGGTTACACAGTACACAAGACATGAAGATGTATACTGGACAGAAGATGATGGCACCTAGTATGGCTTTAACACTACGGGATGAATCCACATTGACAATCACTAATGCTTCACAGTCAGCATCCCCGCTCAAGTCCCACTGGAGATCCTGCTCCTCCTCTTCGGTCTCTGCAGACCAGTCGAGCAATACATGCTCCTCTTCTCTGCCCCCGAGCTCATCCATCGACTATCCTCCAAGCAGCTCATGACGCGAGAAGCCAACGGAGACACTCTGCTGCACATCCTGGCCAAAGACCAAGGTCCATCGCGACAACTCGCGCGGGCTCTCTTCAGCAAGAAAGACCTAGACGTCAACGTGCAGAACAACAACTGGAAGATCCCCTTAGTATGCGCAGCCCAGTACGGGAACCACTGGCTCGTCAAGCTGCTGCTCGAGCGGGGCGATTTCAACAGCTACATGCTGGACTACTTCTACTTCACGCCGCTGGTGTGGGCAGCCAAGAAGCAGGACGAGGGGTTAGTGAAGATCTTACTGGCGAACAGGAACGTTCGGCCAAATGAAGTGGATATTTTCCGGCGAACAGCATTATCGTATGCAGCAGAGTATCGGAATGAGGCGATTGTGCGGTTGCTGCTCGCGGATGAGGATGTTGATGCGGAGTGGAGTGATGAGACGGCGCGATCACCACTGTCTTATGCGGCAGAGGCTGGGAGTAGGAGGATTGTGGAGTTGCTGTTGGATCGCGAGGAGGTGAATGCACATTCAGTGGATTCGTTTATGAAGACGCCGTTTGTGTGGGCGGCGGAGTATGGACATTTAGAGATAATGATGAGGTTGGAGGAGTGTGAGTATTGATGCAATGTTCTGTTCAATTCTATCTATTCTCACATATAGTACTTTGTAAGTAGTTGATGATGCTATGACTGAATGATATGCAAGCACACCACCAATACCCTCCCTGAAAGTATTTAGTCATCCATGATAGAAGATCACTGAGGGGTAGTAGTGATCGCGTGCGCATTTAGTACCTAATCTAATAATCAAGAAACTATATCAGCATCAGAACCCCAAGGACACTCCTATGAACGGGGAAAGTTGTTATCACCGAACTCTACCAAATTTTCGCGGGACCCAAAACACACCCCTCCCTCTCACCCCACCATATCTTATCTTCCACTTCCTAGTAACATAACTACCTACTACTAACAATAGTAAATCTATTCATCTTCATATATCCACTCTTGAATCTACTCATATACCCACCCATCTACCCATGGCAACTACAAGGCTAATGACCTGGGACCCAACCCAATTCTTCCGAACGGAAGAAGGCCTTCCCTCGAGTCCCTACGCCCTGCTCATCCTCAACCATCCAATCAACGAGAGAGCATATGATGTTTTACAACAGCATGGTATATACCACACTCTATATACAGATGCTATACCGGAAGATAAATACTGAAAAGAAGATAGCACTAACAACCGTCTGCGCCGACGGCGGCGCCAACCACTTCTACGAGATGATGAAAGCGCGGGGGAGAGAGGATGTAGATGTATGTGTATACCCTTTCATACCCAGGTTCATATCCATGCTATATACTATATATAAATGGAGAATACTAGTAAAGTATAGCTTCCTATACTCTACTACACAGTAGTATTACACAATAACTACTTACCCCTCCACCCATAACATCAATACCTCTCACTCTCTACACGATATTAATATATGAAACAGCACCCCACCACCATAATCGGCGACCTGGACTCCATCCACCCAACAATAAAGTCCCACTACGAGTCGCACGGTGTAAACGTGATCTACCACCACGACGACTACAGCACCGATTTCACCAAAGCATTGCGGTATATTCGCGCCAACACTGCCGAAATCTTATCCTCCTCATCATCATCCACCACCCACCAACAATACAAAGAAAGTGACAGTCTCTCAATACTAATCCTCGGCGGTCTCGGCGGCCGCGTCGATCAGGCATTCTCGCAGATACATCATTTGTATTCTAACTCTACTATTCCTTCTTCTTCTTCTACCGAAGGGGATAGGAAGGAAGGGGGGAATGAGGGTGCATTATATCTCGTCTCGGAAGAAAGTATCACGTTCATCTTACATCCGGGGAAGAATGTGATTCGTACTCCTGGGGTAAAGAGGGCTGATCTTTCTATCTCTTCTTCCGGGGAAGGGGAAGAGTATCTACTGGAAGAAAACGTCGGCATTATCCCACTCTCCGGGATGGAAAGGATCACGACGAAAGGATTCCAGTGGGATGTGGAATCCTGGGAAACGGAGATCGGGGGCCAGATTAGTACGAGTAATCATATTCGGGCGGAGGAGGTGGAGGTTAGTGCTGGGGGAGCGGTGTTGTTTACGGTGGAGTTGGCGGGGAGGTTTAAACGTTCATCATCATCATCATCTTCTTAGATTATTTTATGTGGTTGGATAGGTTGGATTGGTGGCTGGTATAGATGTTGGTATTCATTCATCCTAACATTTAGACTTAAACATATCAAGCAATACTACAGCGCCCATCGCCCTCAAAAGCATAGCAGTAACAGCAGTCCAGTCCGCTGATACGCCCTGACCCGAAACAACCAAAATAACATAGATAGAAGAAACCAAAACGAAGCCAAAAGTCAAGAATAATCAGTCAACACCCCAATCATACCTCTAACCCTCATCATCTGTACTCTGTCCATTCACCACTGCCGCTGCCAACTATACATCACTTTCTCAGAATCGCCTCATACAATGTCCCAATCACTCCAATAGCACTCCCCGCCAACGCCCCATTCAATCCCCAAGGAACAGACCCCTCCAACCGATCAATCGTCAACCCCTGATAAGCACCCCAGAAGGTGAACTGCTCCGTGTAGACCAAATACGTGATAACCGCCTTGGCAATATAGAAGCTCAACGGATCGAAGCTCGCATGCACACCAGCGCGACCGCGACGAACCTGCGACCCAGCCTGCGCGGCCTGCAAGCTCAGATTGAAAAAGTACGCGACAGTAAAGGGCAGCGCCGCACTGATCAACGCCCACAGCGAGACGACAGCCCAGAAATGCCCTTCGACTAGAATGAAAATGTCCGGAATGGCAATCTTCAAGTCCGAGAGATGCGTCCACGGGGGCATAGGAACAGTGCCCACGTAATTCCAGGGCACAACAGCCCGCAACACGTTAAGGGCTTCGACCGATAATATCAACGTGCCAAAGGCCTTGACGCTGCTAAGGTTGGAGCGGAGCGACTCGGTACGCTCGTGCACACCCGTTTCCGACCACAGTTCGCTAACGGACTTGCCCCACGCGGCTGTCTGGCGATCAATCACGTCGGTAACCACGGCCGGCGAGGGCGGTAGCTCCGACACCAGCGATGACATCGTTGGCGGCTGCACGCCCACTACCTGTCCGGGGGTTTGGGGCTCGGATTCTTCTCTGTGGGAAGTTAGCGAAATAGTCGCGACAGTGAAAAACTATCGCGCGCGGGGTATCATACGTAGGCTCGCGCTCCACCTTGGCCTTCACCTGCCTGCGGCGCACAGATCGAGGAGCTTCATCCGGCGTTGGAGAGGCCTCGACCTTGGGGGCTCTCTTGGTGGGGGAGTACACGCGCGGGGATTGGGACAGTCGCCGGTAGTAATCGGCCAGACGCGCGTCGGTTTTGAAGATGGACTCATTGGCTTGGAGATGGCTGTCTAGAGCGGCAGCGAGGTCTGGTTTGGTGAGGTCCTCATAGCTTTTGCTTTGTTAGAAGAGAGAGAGAGAGGATGTGTGTGTGCGCGCGCGGCACGGCGCAACGCCAGTCATCATGGACATAGGGAGCTGCTTACTCCTGGAGGTCAGTGAGCTCAGCCCATTCTGCAAGTTGGGGCTTGCGCAGTTTCTGCAAATAAGGCAATCCGGTAGGCATGACGATTCGCGCGGGTACGGGATCCACGTTAGACCATGCGACCAGTGGCACAAGTGCAAGGGATAAAGATAGGTGGGTGGGTAGATAGTATAAGGGTATATAGATAGGGAAAGATAAGTAGGGAGGGAGGAAGAAGGAAGTAAGTAGTAGTAGTAGTAGTGGTGGGAAAGGTAAACAAGGTAAGGTAGTAAACAAGAGACAGGCGAACAGGAGAGGAGTAGTAGTACCAGCGAGTAGTAACCAGAGCCAGACTAAGAGAGGGAGTGAATCAGTCGCAGTTCAGCGAGCATCTCGTGAGGTCACAGCGGCGGAGGAGCCAATCCAGTCCGGCTGCTGCTCTGACCGCATCCGGCTTTTGTTTACTTTTTCTCATTCGCGCCCCTCGGCAACTGGCGGGTTTCTCTTTGTCGATCGCTTTGTTATTGTTGTTGCTGCCAGTCTAGTAATTATCTCTGGTTCTGCTCGAACTCTCTTCTCTCTCTTGAAGAATAATATACAATGCTTCATTACCAGCCCTTGTCTAATGTCTATCAATGTAAAAGTATCCGTACATGAGATGATGTCCTTCCTCCTATAAACAAAATGCGCGCCCTGAACCACAACCACCCGATCATGCAATCATGCAAGCTCTCAACATGCGGGGAAAACGACGGGAGGGGAATGGGAATCCAATAATTAGAAGACAAGAAGCCGAAAAGAAAGAAAACAAGAAAGAACAAAGTAAAAATCATACCACTCCCGTCCGGTCGCCCTTCCAACATAGCCGTCTATAATGCTCATGCTCATGCTCATGCTCATGCTCATGCTCATGCTCCGGTTGTGGTGCGCTCTTTTCTTTTTATCTACAGCGGACACTCCACCGTGTGTCCCAGACACCCGCTGATAGTAATCTCACTATCGGCTCGCAGATGCCAAATCTTCAATGCAAGTTAGAAGCTTACCCTCACAAAGGGCTCAGGTCTTCCACCCCCTGGTAAGCTTCCAGTTTCTTCAAAAGGTACTGGTACATGACCAGCATTGTTCCACTTTGAATGCTGGTCCACACTCCGCGGGGTCCGACTCCGCGGAACCACCCCGCAATGCCCTCGGTCTGGTAGATCATCTTCAAGCCAGTGAAGAAAGACGAGGTATCCAGACGGGGAGCCCCGGGCGGCGCGACCGACGTCGATGCTCCAGACGTCGAGATGGGTCGCGAGTGGGTGCGCAGGGTGGACGTCGTGTGCGATGACGTATGCTGGCGCGGGCTCTCCTTCGTCGACGCAGGTTCACCCGCCGACTTGGTCGAGCTCAGGCTTTCCGGGTTCTGCTGCGTCTGGATCCGCGTCTTGACAACGTCCATCGGGCAAGTCATCACACCTGCCATTCCACCAGCCGTAACCGCGGTCATAATTTCCAAAGGCAGTCCAATGTCTCGCGAGCCCACCCATTCCTTTGCCAACCGTTGTTCTTGCTCGTAGAATGCGAACTGCAGGGCCGAGAAGGGAAGGTCACGATAGATGGTCGCCCGGTATCCGTAGAAGAGGGCAGAGAAACCCTCCTGGCGAACAATCGTGCGTAGAGCATCCGTGGTCGAGCGGTAGTTGTATCCCGAGTTGAAATGCGGGTTGTTGTAGCGTCCCTGCAGCTGCAGCCGCGTCTTCAAAACCTCGGAGGGAACGTATACGATGGAGGCAGCCAAGTCGGCGAAGAAACCTAGCGGCGATCGAGTTAGTATCGCCCACCCATGGCGAAGCAGCAAACACCCTTACCTCCAGACAGGTACGCAATATTGGGGTTGATCCCAGAGTCGATCATCTTCCGCTTGGTGAACTCGTAGACACCAAAGAAGATGACTGTTCCAGGGAAAGACCCAAACAGCGCCGGCGTCACACCACCGTACAGACCACGGAAGAATCCCTCTTGTCGATAAATGGTCGCATACGACGAGGTCATAGAGGTATATTTCGGAGGGAAGTGGGGATCGCCTTGCTGTCGAGTCTTCACCGTATCTAACGAATGCATGAGCATGTCACCGCAGGTACCTCCGGTACCTCCAGCCAGCATAGCCTATCCAAGCAACGATGGTCAGAATACAGCTGAGGTTATATCCAATCAAGACAAAGCTTGGCAAACAGTCGCACTCCATGAGAGCAACAAACATACATGTAGATAGGGAGGCCGAGGCTCCTCCTCGTCCGCAAGGGACGTAGCCTTCTGAGCATTATGGTCGCTGGATGCGCTTATCGGACCGGCGGAATGAAAGACATGGTCGCTGCTAGCGGGAGCAACATTGGGGAACTGAGAGGCCGACGCAGGAGAAGGGGGATCGGTAGACGGTGTCTCTGTCGTCGTGAACAGGCCCAAGACGCGCGAGGTCAAGCTCATTGCAAGGATACCGCAACCCACCGGATCGTGGTGCGGACCAGACCACGGGGGTTGGGATGCGGCGAGCGACTGTGGTTTAACGGAAGGACGCCACCCCGGACAAGAATGGGATGACAGTCGAGAGGAGTTGGGCGTAGAGCAAGGCGAAAGAAAAGGCGAATTCGGGGGAATTTATGTTGCCAACACTGGTCGGGAGAGGGGAGTTGGGAGCATCGCACCTCTCGATGATAAAAAAAGATCTTTCGGGCATCATCGCCAGCGTCCGGGAGGCCCCAAAATTTCGGTCGGTTTCCTGTTTTCTCCGCCGTCCGAGTTAGAATCGCAGCCTCAGGCATCTATCTCTTAAAGCTTCCGCCGGGCAATCCGCCTATCGCTGCGTTGCTTACGCGCTGACTGAGCCGTGGCCACTGCATCACAATTCCGCGCTCGATCGGAAGTCTAATCGGACCCGCCGGACGCCGACGCTCTCCATAGGCTACTTCCCATCCTACTAATCCCTCATAATCCGGTGGGAAGGCAGAGTACGACAGCCACTAACATTATACTGTCGCATTGGAATATATAACAATGAGACGTATTCAAGGACAGAAAAAACTTGCTGAGACATTTCACGTAACCTTCCTCCGCGTTCTTCCCCCGAGCAATTAAGAGTACCATCCCGGATGCTACTCCCAAATCTCACTTCGTCTCGCCTCCACTATTCACAACCTTCATTGTTCATCAAAGGGCCGTGCTCCTCGGCCAGGGCGACATCGCTGGCCATGGAGATTCATTACTGGCACATCAGTCTCAATGATCGGTGTCCAGAACAAACGGCTCCCAAAAATCCTATGCACGTAGAATCACGGGGCAGTTCACCAATTCCGTTGTAATCCTGAACGTCCTGAACCAATCCTGATGGCCCTCTATTGGGGCTTCTTCGCAGCACCGGAGCTCATACGGTTGAGATCCGTAGCCTCGTAGGCCTGGCCCACGGCAGCCTTGAAAGACTCCCAACCCTGGCGAACCGCAGGGGGGGTGCTCTGGTGAGAAACCGAAGCATCGACTCTCGCGATGAAGTGGCGGACCGCCTGCTGCACAAAGGAGCTCTGGGAGTATCTGGCGCGGAAAAAGGCCAGGTAGAAGAAGAACAGCACAAAGCTACCCTTGGAGAAGGTGAGGATGCCGACGGCCAAGCGGAAGAGGAGAGACATCTCCAGCTGTGCGACCAGGTGCATGCTGGCGTCATAGTACTGCTTGACGAACCGTCCAATGGTATCGGCCAAGGGAGAAGGTCTGGCGGCGGGCTTAGGACCGCTAGGAGAAGCGGGAGAGGCCGGGGCACCCGGGGCGGGACCCTGAATGGTGGGAATCAGGTGGGCACGAGTGTAAGTCGCAACATGGAAGATGGAGTAGACGCTGAAAGGAAGCAGGGCCAACGGGATCTGGCGCGAGTAGAGCCAGACCAAAGCCATACCTAGTTACGCTTATCAGTATCATTGTCTTCGCTATTTGATCGCCATCACTTACCGAGGTACTGGACATTTTCATCACCAGCCAGCTTCAGCGCAATGTTGGGAACACTGCCCTGGAGACGGCCACGGGCAATGTGTCCCTTGTACACCACAATTCCGTATGTCGCGGCAGCGGAAACAAACGCAAGGCGGTAAGCTACCTGCGCCGACGAGGAGTAATAGTTGAACGTAATGTAGGACAAAACATAGCGGAAAACCGAAAGGAGCAGCGTCACATGCCTATGATGCGTTAGCGAATATGCTCGGTCCGACCGTTCAAAGCGAGAGCTGCTGAAGGATGGTGCGGTGGGCAAGTCCTGCTGGACAGGCCCAAGACCGCGGTTTTATTGTATGATGCAACGTCGCCAAAAAGAACAGACAGTGCGAAATAGGGCGGAGCTATAACCTACCCAGCGAACCAAGCAAATCTAAGTAGAGGAGACCTCGTCAGTACCAGCCGTCAGTTCCGGGACATGCGACACATACTGCAGTGTTTGAGCCAAAGCCTTGAGTCTCTCAGGCAGAGGCAGATTAGCGGGCGGAGCAGGGGCCATTGCGATCGCTTGTCTCGGGAAGTCGGATGAAGAAGCAGGAATGTAGGGAGGGTCGTTGGTTAGTAGTAAGAAAGGGCCGAGATACCGGGGAGTGGAACGGCGGTGCGGCAATGGAGCAGCCAACAGCAATAGTAGATGAGGAGGGAAAAGGGAAAAGGAGGAGAAGGAACGAAGAAAGAATATCGGGGAAACTAATTGAGCGGTGGAAGCAGATGGATATCCACTTGGGAAGGGAGGCTGGGCGGGGACGGCGGTGGGTTTTGGCCTTGAAGGGAACGAACGGCGGTTCTGGTGCAAGTTGGAGAGAGTAAGTTGCCAGCTGAGGGAAGAAGCTACTACTTTTAGTCCTACTCAGCCTAGTAGTCTCGCTCGGTCAACTGGTTCGTTCGAGCATCAGCCGCACTCCCGTGACGTCGCCCGCCCGCAATGATGCAACACAACCGTCGGTGGAAAAAAGCTTATCGATGTCATGATCCAGGCGAGCTCTTCCCCAGGTCGTGTGCAATTCTATTCTGGGTAATTGTTGGCTGGTATCCGGATTATTGATTGATTCTACTGATTTGATCTTCCGGTCACTGAGGGCTTTTAT